AAGACAGACATACATTATCTTTGGAAGAAGAGGTGTAATTTAACCCCTTAACGATCATTGATATTTCAAGACATCAGGTTTCTGCAGACGTTATGTCGCCATGAAAGGTCTTGTGTATTTCACATCAACAGGTCTACACACGTTAGCTGACAGGAGATAAGTATGACATTCTGTGTTGTTATTGGAATTGCGTGAGCTTGTTTTTGCCATTCACCCTTGGTTCCTTAATGGCAAAAAAATAAAATAAAAAAATACTTGGCAAAGTTGTAGGCATCCAGCATTGTTTGGAGAATTTGAAGAGTTAAGCCACTCTTTACAGCACTACTTAAATTGGTAATAGTATATTATATTGGTCTTGTAAAGAAAGGTTGTTGAATATCAAATGCGAGAGTCATTCGCAATAGAAAATCATCATGAGAAGCCGCTTTGATCTGATTTTTAGCTACAACTTGTGTCTCCAAAGAGTATTGGCAAAACATTTTCCTTTGAAAAGTCAAGCCAGACTGACATCATTCACACTTGGCAAATGTCCAGAGGGCCACCAGGGCTGTGTGCTGGCATGGGATGTCTTGTCAACATTCATTGTAACCTTCTCTGTTATAATTCTGATGCTCTGGACATCTTAATCAACCCCATCATTTTCCCAAATTTCAGACAGTGAAACTCTGCCATAGTTGCCTGGAGCACCTGCCTGCTTCTCTGGATGGGAATTATTATTTTCTTTAGACATGGAGAGTACTGGTCTAAATCCACTTTGTTCTTTTAATATTTTATATGTTGTGTGTTCATAAATCTTTACTTACAGAGATTCATAGCACAGTGGACATCTCTGTGCAAGACTTAATACGTGTTCATTGATGGGAAAGAAGACCTTTAGATTCTGTCTTTGTATCTTCATCTTGTTGTTGCTGATGTGACTGTCAAAATATTGGCATACAGATATGAAACTCATGAATTAAACATGCGTAGAGTACATTGTTATTTTTCAAGAACAAAATGAGAGCAGTCCGATTTCTGGTGGGTAGTTCATACAAGTTTTATGATGCCTAGAAGCACAGAAAAGAACAGGTAATAGTCAACAAATGTTATGATCGTAAGCGTTGATGAAATGTTCATATGAAAGGTATTATAACCAAACAGAATAAATACAAATATAAGTACTCCAGACAAAAATGAACAATTTGCAAAATGAATGGTGGAATGAAAGCACAATGGCATCCACATTATTCTCGATGTAAATCTACCTTTAAGATACAGCCTGGTTACGTGATGTCCAAGGTGAATCATACAACTTGAGGATTGATGTGAAATGTCTATGAATTACATCAGTGGATCAGCCACAGACAAGGATCTAATTTAAGCTATTCTTCCTAAAAGCCTACATCTAGAGTGGTACTATAATCAAAAAGTGTTTATTTGCCACCAAAGAGAACTTTAGAAATCATATATAAGTTATGTTCTAACATGAATTAAATCATACATTCTGTAACTAAACAGCTTGTTTATTGTGGCGCAAGTGAATCAATTGTGAGCAAAAATGTTGTCCTTGAATAAATAAAAACATGGTGGTAAAGTTTCCCATATCACTTTAGTGAGCAAAGCTTGTAATAAGCACTTTTTTTACAGTGTTTTTCTGCATAGCAAGCAGTGATTAAGTTTTCTAGATAGATTTTCATAAGTGGATATTTGATATTGCTACCTTATGCAAATATTTATTTAGGCAGAAAAAAACCTGATGTTAATTTTGTTCCCAATTAATTTTGTATATTGTTAATAACTTTTGCTGAATTTTTTTTTTAGCAACACTATAAGCACCATAACAACATTATCTAATTAATGTTGTTATTGTTAGGCATGTGCATGGGGAAAATTTTCGGTTCGGTTCGGCATTCCGGAATTCGGGACTTCCGCAATTTGGGACTTCGGCAATTCGGCACTTCAACACTTCGGAACTTCAGCAACTTTGGAACTTCGGCACTTCAGCACTTCGGAACTTTGGCACTTCGGAAATTCGGCAACTTCGGAATTTCGGAACTTCGGCATTTCGGAATTTTGGGACTTCAGCACTTAGGGACTTCTCTTGCAGCTGCTTGGTAGATAACTCCCTAATTACTACAGTATTAGGGAGTTATCTACCAAAAGGCTGAAAGACCTAAATTGGTCTTTCAGACAAATTTACTAATGCTGAGTAAAAATTACTTAGTATTAGTACATTTTGCCCCTACTCGCTATACCGCGAGTAGGGGCATGTCTATTAAACAGTTAGCAGCCTATGCTGCTCACTGTTAAAAAAAAAATAGGGGCCTATTTCCCCCCCCTGGCCCCCACACCTGAGGGGGGTGGGGGCCCTAAAGTAAAATGATGGGGGGAGACCTATTGTCCTCCCCCCCGGCCCCCACCCCTGAGCGGTGGGTGGGGGCCCTAAATAATAATAAGGGGGGACCTAATGTCCTCCCCCTTGGCCCCCACCCCTGAGCAGCAGGTGGGGGCCCTACAGTAAAATAAGGGGGGGGAACCTAATGTCCTCCCCCCTGGCCCCGACCCCTGAGCGGTGAATGGGGCCCTAAATACTAATAAGGGGGGGGACCTAATGTCCTCCCCCCCTGGCCCCCACCCCTGAGCGGCAGTTTGGGGCCCTAAATTGGAATAATGGGGGAGACCTAATGTCCTCCCCTCGGTGGGGGCCCTAAATAAAAATGTTACCCCCCCAGGTGACTAGGGGCCCCCAAACCCCCAGTCACACCCCCAAAAAAATTAACCCCTACCTACACCCCTCACCCTAAAAATAATGAGGGAGGGACCTTTAACTAAGTACCTGTAAAAAAATATAACTTACTATTTGATTTTTACTTTCTTCTAAAATCTTCTTTTTTCATACCCAAAAAAGGCCAAATCAAAAATATTCCATCTTCACCCGGCGAGGGCTCCGCGCAGACTGAGCTCTTCTTATAAAGCCTTGCCCAGCCCTGCAATTAGGCTCAGAGCACTCTGACTGGTGGGTTTAAGCCATCCAATCAGAGTGCTCTGACAGGTAAATGAAGAGACTGACAGGTAAGTCTCTACATTTACCCATCACAGCACTCTAATTGGTTGGCTTAAAATCTACTAATCAGAGTACTCTGTGTCATTTTACACAGCGTGGGAAAGTTCTTTGGAATAATACCGTTGGAAATAGGGAGTTATCTACTTATTCATTCCTGTCATTACACTGACTGGCTAAGTAACTTACATTTTATATGAATGTATGTTACTTGATTGTTGTAAGTGTTGCAAATGCTTAAAGCTGAATCCTGGCTATGTTTGTATACTTTTTATTTAAAATTGTATACAGTGTAACATTCTTCATTCTTCCACTGGGTAAGTATATTAGTTCTTAGGCAATACTGTGCTTCGGCACTTCGGAACTTCGGCACTTCAGCATTTAGGAACTTCGGCACTTCGGCAATTCGACACTTTGGAAATTCGGTAATTTCGTAATTTCGGGACTTCAACCATTCACCAGTATAATCACTGCTTAATGTAGTTGTTCTGGTGAGTATAATAGCTCCCTTCAGGCATTTTAGTGCAAACACTGCCTTTTCAGAGATCTATGTAACTGCCATTTAAGTACCCAGTCCCCCAATTTTTCTAAATCCCTCTACTGCAAAGCAATATCGTGCTCACATTTTATTACTTTACAGAGTTGTGTGTCATCTGAAAACATTGAAACATGGATTTCAATGTCTATTTTAAGGTAATTTATAAATATGTTCAATAGAAGCAGACCCAGAAAAGAACCCTAAGGGACACCACTTACCACTTTTGTCTAGCTTGAACATTTGCCATTAATGGCAACTCTCTTAACTCTATCTTTAAGCCAATGTTCTACCCAAGAACAAGAATTTTAATCGAAACCAATTTCTTTTAGTTTGAACACTAATCTATTTTGAGGGACCATATCAAATGCCTTGGCAAAATCCAAATAGATCACATCCACTGCAACACCCTGATTTATACTTCTACTTACTTCTTTGTAGAATTCAATTACATTAGTTTGAGATGATCTTTGTTTCATAAAACCGTGCTGATTACTGCTAATAACAAAGTTCTTCCCAAAGAATTACTGGAAATTATCACTTAATAACCCTTTAAATACTTTCCCAGTCACACAAGTTAAGCTCACAGATCTATCATTTCCAGGCAATGAGTTTGAACCTTTTTGCTTCCCTCTAATCCTTCAATACAATTCCTGAAAGACAGGAGTCCTGAAAGACTAAAAACAGAGCTTCACTTATTTCCACATTTAGTGCCTTAAGTACTCGTGGGTGAGGCCCTGGGACTTTGTTTACATTAACTTTCTTTAGTTGTATTGAGTAATCCGATCGCAATTTTTCTGCAAGTTTTTTGCAGCAATTATTTGTATATTTCTTGTCATAGGTTTATCCCTAATATTTACTGAGGGAAAATAGATATTTAACATTTCTGCCTTTTCCTAGTCTTCATTAACTAACACACCATCTCTTTTTCCAGTGCACCTATACTTTCTTTCATTATTAGATTTTTTTGTAGAATTTATGTACTTATTCACTTCCTCATTTTCTAGTTTAGCCCATCTAATCGCCTTTTTGCATGCATTGTGTTTTTTCTTAAATCTTATACAGGATGCCTCTGATGTGTCTGATTTAAGTGCTTAAAATGCCCTTTTCTAATTTTTGATAAGAAGTGTACTGGGAAGCATACCTTTCTAAATTTTGTTTGAAGATATTCCATTTATCCTCAGCGTTTGTTCACTAAAGAGTTTATGCCATTCAATAAGTTGTAAAGTTGCCCCATTCTTATTGAAATTGGCCTTTTTAAAATTATGAATTAGTATACCCCATGTGCATTTGCTTTTATGAGTTTATTTCAAAAGACACCATATTGTGGTCACTATTTCCCAAGTCCTTCCCTACTTGAACGTTTGTCAAAAGATCAACATTGTTTGTTATAACTAGTGATGTCGTGAACCATTCGTGAACTTGCCGGTCAGCTGACACATCCCTGCCAATCTCTGGCAGACCCTCCCTCCCAGACCCTCCCAGCTGCCTTCAACATGGATGCTGTCCAGGAGGTAGGAGGGTCTGGGAGGGAGGGTCTGCTGGAGATTGGCAGGGATGTGTCAGCTGACCGGAGTTCGCCACGAACCGCGGCAAACCGTTCGCAGCAAGTTCGCGAACGGTTCGCGACATCACTAGTTATAACCAGTTGGTGCTTGTACCAGTTGTGACAAGAAGGTGTCATTTAACAGGTTCAAAAATCGGATTCTCCTTGCTAAACTACTAGTCCCTCTGTCCCTATTTATGTCCAGGTAATTAAAATCTGCAATAATTAATATGTTACCCAGATGTGCATCTTTCCCAATTTGCTCTAACAGCTGTTCTTCTTCATCAATATCAACATTAGTTGGTTTATAGCATAACCCAACCAATAATTGATTTCCCTTCTTTTGTTTCAATATCGACCCATAAAGCTTCCACATTTTCCTTGTGTTATTCCACTTGCTTAATATTCAGCTTTAACTCATGGTTTACAAACAAACATAACCCTCCACCTTTCCTCTTTTTTCAATCCTTCCTAAATAATGTGTAACCATTTAAGTTAGCTGCCCAGTCATGTGTCTCATCCCACCATGTTTCCGTTACACCTATTATGTTATATTGCTTAGTGAATGCTATTACCTCTAGTTCCCCTACTTGGTTATTTAGGCTCCTTACATTAATAAGCACACATTTAATATTATCATGAGTCAATTGTACTTTATGTGAATTTTTATGACTGTTACATACATGACATTTAATAACTGATTGTGTGCTCCAACATATTTTCTCATCTAATCTATGTAACATCAAAAATCATATCGACTAATATAAATGACTGCTTCAATTACTGTGAGCGAATGGTGTTTGAAGATAACTGCAGTCTACACAGATATAAAACGGAGTTTGCAAATTCATACTCAGGATGTCTTCTTATTGCAAAGGTATGCAATCTTCGGCACTCCTTATGTTGTGGACTAAATCCCCCCTGATACTTTTCCAGCATTATAGCTGTCAGAGCATTATGGGAGATGTAGTCCACATCATCTGGAGTGCTGTAGGTTGCCTACCTCTGTCCTATAATATAGTTCAATATTATGGTTAGATAAATGTATTTGTGTCAATTTATTCAGTGACCAAACAGTGTGTTTTTCTAGGTAAATCTCACAAGGTTATCGTCAGTTTATTCTGGTTAAAAACACATATGTTGTGTTCTTTTGAGAATATTACTGGGGAACAGGATGTTTTTGACACCATATCAGCGAAGCATTTTCAGCTGTTATACCACAATAATAACTAAGATTGTGACCTGAAACATTTCATCTGAAATGGGTTTGCATGTCTGAGCGTGTTTTGCAGAAATGATTGTTGGAGTATGAACGTAAGTGTTATTCAAGGTTTGAAGACCTTTAAATATTCTAGAATACGTTAAGAAGCACAGCATGCATAAGCAATACATTCTCAGTTACAATGTCATTCGATAACATCGTCATTAACCTTGTGCTGTTCTAAACTGGTTTTTTATTAAATAAATATCCCATAGCCACAAACCTGCAGATTAAACACATATTTACCCAGGGCAAGGGGGAGGGATATCCTAATTCACCCTGGACATGTGAAAAATGTAAAATAGTTTCGTGTTGACAATTTTTTGATTGATAACCCTGCTTAAAAACGCTCTTAAAATGCTGTGCTACCGGTGGATCTACCCATTCCCTGCTTGAAGTGTTGGTTCATGTATATATGATCCCATATCATTGGGTTAAGGATTGAGAATTTTAACAGGAATCTTTATTAGCCAATATTGTTTTAAACTCTGCGGAATGAGAGCACTTTATTACAAGTGAGTCAACTTATTGGCTCATACCTTCAGAAGTATAAAAAGTGTGTTAATTGTATTCTACTATTAAAAGGGGAGCTTCATTTTTATCATATGCCTCCCCCCAATATTTCATTATTTTGTTTTAGTCAAGGGAGCTGAATTGCTATGTATTACTTAGCCTGGAAGGATACATTTAATTTCTGCTGGCTTCCCTGTATGTGAATATTAATGTGACTGCTTCTTAACTCATTAGTTGTTTGATTGGCTTCAGAAGGTTGAAGGCCCAATATGACTCTGTTGAGGATAGAACTTCTGATTTGAATGTCTTGTGTGCACTGAGCTTTGATGTTGGTGTTGTGGTGTACGTTTGTTTGTGTGTCTGTGTGTGTGTCAGCGATTGAGTGTGACTTGGAAACAATATAATATTCCACAATTGCAGGGATTTTATAGCTATAATTCTACAAGAGAAAAACTAACCACAAGCTATTTCTCAAATAATTCATCTTTTTTTTTTTTTGGCTCAGGGACCCAAATTACATACATGGAATAAACTTGGTGACCCATTTTGCAATCTCAAATAACCTCAGTGACCCATTCTTCAAATGTTACATATTAAAAATAATTCTTCAAAACCATTATTGCATACAATCCTGTTTTATACAGAGGTCTCCATAGCACTGAGGAAGGTAGTGGAAGGCAGTGTCGCTATAGTAACCACTTTATTATGAACAGTTGACTGGAGCCTGATTATTATTGAGCATCCCTTTCAAAGTTTGGGACCAATTGAAATAGCCTGGGCGCTGACCCAGGGGTTAAGAGCAATGCTTTAGAAGAACAAGCCATGTATTTGCATCTGGTGGCAGTTTACAGATACTGATTTCATTTTGTGTTTTTTTGTTTTTTATATATACAGTATGTAAATATGAGAAATAACCGCCACTGTGTGAGTAGTTAAACTCCTACTTTTAATGGCTTTGGTTTTTGTTGTTTCCACAGCTGTAGGGGTAGACATTCCCTACCACAATGTTATGTCTAGCTGTATAGCCAAGGGTTTCTTACGGTTAGCAGAAAACGACTAATGTTGCCGTTTCATCATCTTAGAATCCTGCCCACACCCAGGGGAACATTTCTTTTTTCAATCATGCCTAAACAGCTCTCCTGTGCTTGAACTTGCTACATTACGCAGAACATCATTGCAGCGTTACCAACAGAGGCCTTTATTCCAACTCACATTTAAAGATTAAATCCCCACAGCTGGTTTAACACTAACAGGGGAGGAACGATTAAAACTATTAAAACGTTGCTGTCACATGTATGAGCAGGAAACACCCGTGTACTGCAGGTATTGATAGCAGAAATAAACTGAGCCAAACATCCTTCCCAAACACTGTCCACAGACTGCTTGCTCTGCAACCTAATTTGAATTTAATTTTTTGCTTGTTTTGTTTCAAAGGTACATGGACAAAGCACAATTGGAACAACAATTAACCATATGTCTTCTAGTTCTTTCCCACCGGCCTTCGAATGGTGTATAATTCATAGGTAGCAAAATTATTCCTTGCAGCTAAAATCCTTTGAGGGCTTTAAGGGATCTCTAATTAACAAGCAATCAAACCATTTTAATGGAGTATCGCAGAGCAATATTAAAAGTATGCTAAAAAAAATAATGGAGATATTTTGTTGTTAAATAAAGTAAAGACAAACAAGAAAAAAAGTACAATTAAGATGGCAGTTCCTTTAAAAAATTGCAGTAAATATTTTAGGGAAAGTAACTTCTAGCTTTGCACATTTCGATCCAACATTTGTAACCATTCTTCTTGGTAAAATTAATCTAGTTCTGTTGGGTTGGTTGGAGCACTAAAATCCGTGTTCTTGTTAAACCTCCCCCGTCTCCCCCCCCCCAAAGAAAAAGTCTGTTGCAATCCAAGACTATTCATCCATTAGATATGACAGAAGAAAGAAAGGATAATAAAAATAAACATTTTCTAAAAATATTTTTTTACCCTTTCCAGCTTTTAATACTTGTTGAATTTTAAAGATTGAATTTTATTTTGCTAGAAGACAAGCAATTAAAAAGAAACCACTACCAAGGTGACCGTTAAAATTGCGTTAAAACTGCGTCGAAAATTTGCTGTGGTGGAGAATTTCTCCAAGTAGATTATTTGGTCCAACACTTACAGTTCCTTTGTCAGTTCTTAACAGTTTCCATTTTAGTAAATTAACCTCTCAGAATGTCTACAATCTTAAGACACAAAGGTGGATGCATTATCTTGTGATTCATGGCTTCCCACAAGCAAGTGGTTACCAGCCCAGTCCTCAGGCACACTAACAGTACAGGATTTAGGCAACTTTGCTTTATTGGAGGGTACTACCAAAACCTGTTGCTATGCCTTAAAGACTGGGTCTATTGCTCTGAACCAGGGGTTCTCAAGTACCCCCTACCAGTACAGAATTTTGGGATTACCCTGTTATGTCTAAAGTGTTGTTTGTTTGTTTGTTTTCTAAAACCACCTTAGACACAATTGGATAATCCCTAAATTCTGCATTGTTAGGTTTAAGAACCACTGCTCTGACCCATTAAAGAAGCCAATGATGTCTGCAGAGTTCCAGTCTAGAACCTTGAGAGAAAACTAGTAAATCTGTTAACTGTCAACCTGGATATACTATTTAAGATCCTCAGCATGTCTACACAAAGCAATAACATGTTGAAATACAACAAACTGTGTTTTATTTCCCATGTGAGAATGCGCAAAGACATCACGCCAGGTTTTCATCACAATATTTCTCTTTAATTAGGCGTACACCCATAGAGGTTTGGCTTAGTGTACTGGTTACTAATAGCGTGTGTTTTTGCCAATCTACAGTTAAGGAAATCAGCCTTTTATCTTTTAGATGTTTATTGCTACACAATCTCTTGACACACCCTCGTAGCTCCAGGAAGCAGCTTAGACTCATCATGATATGAGTTAGTAAGAATGCAGGTGTGTCTGCACTCACTGAGCATGCTCTTGGTCCACTGGATCCCAGGTTATAATCATTCTGAGATAACGTGTGAATCCTGACCTAAATGTATGCAACTTCAAAGAGCCAGAGGGATGGGACTTTCCAACTGACCTAATTATTAATTCCACCACTTTGTTTATGAAGAAGTATTGAAAATAATAATTAAACCTACCTTTCACAATGTTTGGATGTAGGGCATTTATAACATGTTGTATGTTTGCGTAGATAATTACTGCCTCGTGCCTATGATAAAATGAGCCTGGTGTAAACAGTTTTTTTTAAATTCTTTATTTTTATTGTGCGTTGAAAGAAATACATGCAAGCTCGTGGTGCCCCAACAGCATTCCTCGAGCATATTTTCAAGCATAACAGTAGGAGCAGTAAAATAATCAGCACATTTTTGTATAACAACAGTAGCATAACATTAATATTCGGTATAACTGCGCTTTTGCATGGTTGAGAACCCAGTATCGGCCCGCGTTTACGGCCACAGTTAGCTATATATTAAATGGCGTCCAAAGACTTCCGTGTGGCTAGGCTATCTAGCTCTGCCTCAGGTTTGGGAGCATCAAAACAATCCTGCATCGCCTTTATGCCATGCTGTACAATAGAGGGCTTGTGTGGGCCCGCTCGGCTAGTGCCCTTTTTTCGGCCGGCTATTTATTCTGGATAAATTAGTGGCATGGTGGTGGCTGAAATAGTGTGTCCAGCATTTCTGAGGGCTGGGCTCATACATTTATGTTCAGACTTAGGGTGCTATTCCTGCTAGGCTTATGAGACACAATCTTATACATTGCATGATATTAGCTAATAGAGTACATCACATGTCTGAGTTACTGCATTATTTACTTTGATGTAGATTACATTACCCAAACCTAAGCAGACACAGAGTTGGGTATTCAATGGTAGGCTTCTAATCGCAGGTTAATCCTGCTGAGAGAGGTTATGGGCACTTATGCAGGTTGAAGCGATGCAAGAAAAGGAAAGTGCTTAAGAAATCATATAACATGGCAGATCTGGTACAGATAAAATTAAACAAAAGTATGAACAATGTACACGCTGAGTGTGGATATCGGAGCCTTATTCTGCTGACTGTTACAATGTCCCGTGAAGAGGTTAATTGTATAGAGGTGGCTCCAGCTCCACATGTCACTCTGGTTGATCCCTTTCAGCCTATGCCCACAGGGTTTACCGGACTGTCCAGCATGGTGGTGCCTCGCCAGGCAGCGGCTCTCTCAGTTGGTGGGGAGATGCCTTGCCCCGGACGGCCTGGGGAGCGGCTCAGAGGTGGCCGCGGTGGTTTCTCCATGTAGCCCAGGACAGGTGGCAGTACGTTGGGGTTCGGTACATCACGGCAGCGGTGAGCAGGGTACCTGTCCGCGGCTCGCTGTCTCAGCCGGTAGTGTTGTTTCCGCGGCTTCCGTCGCTTTAGTGTAGTCGGATTAGTGTGGGGTAGCTGTCGGCCCATAAGAGGCCTCCCAGGCCGCTCCTTATTTCTTACACTGTCTTCCTGACCGGGCTCCCGTGTGGCTATTGCTTGCCTTGAACGGTTGAGCAGCATGGCCCAAAACTTGTCGATTATGGCTCCCAGAGTGTCCATTACTTTGGTCTTAGGGCCTGCTGAGACAGGTTGTGGCAGTATCAGACCTCGTGTTGTAGAGCCTGGTGCCTCCGCCATCTTGAGTGACTCCCTTCCCGTGTGGCTAGGGAGGTTTGCAGGGCTCACAGAAGCGTCCGCGACTGAGGCAGCTTGGGTTCTCGAGGACCGGGATAACCCCCACCGGTCCAGAGGGGGGGGAGGGAGGTGATTTGGGGGTGCTCCCTTGTCAGCCAGAGAACCGGGAGAGCGGCCGTCTCTCCTCGGCTCCCACCCGCACAGGCCGCAGGTCACGATTTGGTCCACCCAGCACCGGAGAGCCAAGTGTCGGGTATCTCCGGTTGCAGTGCAGTCTCCTTGTCACGATTATTGCGTTGAGCAGTCGATGTGATCAGGTGGTCGGGTGTAAGACCCCGAATCTCGGCTCCAGACTCAGGAGCTCTCGACATGTACGTCTAGTCCGCTTGTTAGTCAGGCTCCGCCCCCGTAAACAGATTTTTAAAGTAATACAAGGTGTAAACTCTTCAAGAACTCTCATGCCAAGGTGTCCTCCCAGAGTTAGAAGCCAAACCATTAAAGAATTGTTTGACAACTTACCTGAGAACTGCTGGATGCCCGCTGCAGCACCTGCTGCTGGAGAATCCTATGTGTAACTCTTTGCCATACATTGCCGACTAATTGTTTAATAGTGTCAGCTTAGCGCTCTCAGCCAGTGAGTTGAGTACGGCCCGGCATGGCTCAGTGACAAGTGCTTATAGAGCAGGGGGGCTGTGACAGGGCCCAGCCAAGACCCAAGTAAGTTGTAAATCCATTCTTCAACATTTTGACGATATACCCTGAGGGCATTCTGACACCATAACCACTACTGCTAGGTGCAGTGGTTATAGCACTTGGAGTGTTCCTTTAAGACATTGACTTTATGTAAAGGTGCTCTTTGATACATTATTGTAATATTTGACTATAAAAAAAAATCAATAACATAGAAATGTATTAGTTGCATATATACTCACCAAAAGAGTTAGCCGAGCCATCTTTGGCTAAAGTTATAGCAGTGAGTATTTTGGGCAAAGTATATTGTAGCTTTGCATATTTGCATCCTACATTTGTGTCCATTCAGCTTGGTAAAATTGTTCCAGCTCTGTCGGGTTGGTTGGAACACTAAAATCTGTGTTCTTTTTTTAAACCTGATTGCACCCAAAGAATAAAGACTGCAGCAATCCAAGAATATTATCCATTAAAAATGACATAAGGAAGAAGGGTGAAGATTGCATTGCATGTTGCCTGGGGGAGTCAATAAACATTTAAAAAAAAATATTTTTATACCCTTTACAACTTTTAAAACTTGTTGTTAAAGGACCACCATAGTGCCAGGAAAACCCCCTCACGCCCGGTTCTGGAAGGGGGAAAGGTGTTTAAACTTACCCTTTTCCAGCGCTGGGCGGGGAGCTAAAAAATGGGTTAAACCTAGAAGGACCTGGCACCCAGACCACTTCATTAAGCTGAAGTGGTCTGGGTGCCTAGAGTGGTCGTTTAAGTTTGAATTTTTCTTTGTTAAGTGACAAACAAGAAAAAAAAAAAAAAAAAGCAAAATTTCTTAGTATTGGTGTTGCTGTAAAAAACATTATTTATGCTAAATACAGATTAAGGAAACAATGCACACAAAAGTCCTAAATCTCACAAGGTTATAAAAATGTGAAAAACTAAAATAGGGATTCAGTCACTCAATATGGCCATCACAGTGTCACAGTACCCCAATATTGGTGGGTCCCACACTAATTTCAACATGGGAGATTAACATGTTAACGGCAACACTTACCACTTAAAGGGACACTCTAGGCACCCAGACCACTTCTGCCCATTGGAGTGGTCTGGCTCCCAACTCCCATCACCCTTATCCCTTCAAGTGTAATTACTGCAGTTTTTATAAACTGCAATAATTTCCTTGCTAGGTTAAGTCCTCCTCTAGTGGCTGTCAAACAGCCACTAGAGGGACTTCCGGCTTCTTAGAACACGCAAAATGTTTTAAATTGGACGTCTGCACGCTATGCATGAGGACTTCCAGCGTCGCCGGAATCCCCATAGGAAAGCATTTAATAATGTTTTCCTATGGGGAGGTCTAATGCGAGCGGCCATTGCTGCACATGTGAATTAGGTCTCTCCCGCCGGCTGATGTCGGTGGGGGAGGAGCGTGGGCAGAGCCTGACCCAGTACCGAGGGACATCGGCGCTGGATTCAGGTAAGTCACTGAAGGGGTTTTAACCCCTTCAGCAACATGAGATGGGGGTGGGAGGGAGGCACTGCAGGATACTGCAGTGCCATGAAAACGGGTTTGTTTTCCTGGCACTGGAGAGTCCCTTTAAACTGCTTCCAAAGACTCTCCTCATATTTAAGCTTTCCTGTGGTCACTTCCAAAGGAGAACTTGGAGTGGAGGGGCGGGGTGTTCAACCCAAAATGACTTTGCTCTGGATTCCATACACCAAAAATGGAATTTGGGGAATACCCAGAATATGCACTTCTTAGTAATAGTGCTGGTGTAGAGACCAACATATATGCAAAATATATATTAAAGGACTAGCACAGATGCACAAAAAAAAGTTTGCATCATACAATGCTACTTAAAATCACCTATCTTAGTGAAGACATATGGGGATTCTCTTGCACTGTATGACCATCTAGATATGCATAGCAGACCACATTAGTGTAAATTGCCATTAATGTTGAAAGAAACCTGGAGATTCAGAGAATATCAGTAAGAAATAAAATTCCATATTCTATTCTATTCCATGACATATAATTTACCATCTGTTTGAAAAATAATTATAATTATTGAACCTTCATCACAATATCTGGATGATTCAATTCAAAATTAACTTTTGAAATAGTCATCTTTTTTTAGAAGGTGACTTGATTTATCTTAATAATGATGAAACCAACACATTTTCTGCCATATAACAACATTACGTGAGCTCTATCCACTGAAGTCTTATTTTCTGTAAACCGTATAAGGAGATCAATGATGCATTAACCAGTTGATATGAGCAGCGCCTACTAATTTATCGATTTCTGCCTTTTGTTTCTCAATGCCTGTGGTTCAGCAAATGCTCTTAATACTCAATGGAATTTTATAGAAATTTGGTGAGTACTATCTAAAGCATTGATCTACAATAACATCGCCTCCAATTTAACACCTTAACGACCATTGCTTAAAATATCCTTTCATATCACAGACATGTTTTAAGCGGCTATTGTTTAACAACATATTTCATCCTTTTAGCTGCCTGAAAGCATATTTTGACGTGCAAAAATGTCTAAAATCTGATTTAAAAAATAAAATAGAGTATGTATTTCTAATAAATTGTTATGTGCCTATTTTTTTTTCTTTTTTTTTTTTTTTCCAGCAAGTAATCCGATGCAGAATTCGAAATATCTTTGTATGATTCCGTAGACTGGAAGTGAAATGAAATAAATAAAACCTATGGGGAAATAAAATATAGGAAATGCAAATTCAGATTATAGAGATACAATAAAGAATTATCTGTTTGAGATAAAGCTTTACATTTTCTGTGGAACAATTAATAAAGTCTTTAAAGCATTGTCTAGAATATAAACCCAACACGAAGAAGCTCTTTACTTTGATGTTTGTAGAATTTAATTAACAAATTCACTCTGGAAAAATTAAGACATGGCATCCTTTCATTTGATTTCTTCTCCTTTGAGTGAATAGAGTTTCAGCAAAATTTGCCAAAGTCATTTTCTGCTTTAGGTGTTATGTTTTTGTAATTGTTCTGGTGAGTATAATCATTCCCTGCAGGCATTTCATATAAACACTGCCTTTTAAGAGAAAAGGCAGTTTTTACATTGCCCCCTAGGGACATCTCCACTTCTCAGATGGCCACTGGACGTGTTTCAGCGTCTCCACGCTCTGCATGGAGACAATTAACTTTCCTCATAGAGATGAATTGATTCAATGCAACTCTATAAGGAGGTGCTGATGGACCAAGCCAACATTTGGCCCCACCTCATTCCGCCTCTTTGCTAATTTCACCCAATCCAATGTTTTTCCTATATGAAAACTTTGGATTGGCTGAAGTCATAAATTCTGATGATGTCAGCAAGGAGGCAGATCAGGGGTGGCACCAGCGCCGGCGGACCCGTAAATCACGCTGTAAATAATGCAACTTTTATTACATTTGAAAGGGGGCTAAAGGCGCAAGCCACCTAAATGTTCATTTTAACACTAAGGGGTGAGGAATACATGTTTGTGTTCCGGACCCTATAGTGTTCCTTTAAGCAACGACTGATCAGCCAAAACATTAAACCCAATAAAGTGGATAACATTGATTATATTGTTTTAATGGCACCTGTGAAGGGATGGAACATATCAGGCAGCAAGTGAACAGTCCGTTCTTGAATTTCATGTGTTGGAAGCAGGACAAATGGGCAAGCGAAAAGATCTGAGTGACTTTGACAAGGGACAAATAGTGATGGATAGACATCTAGGTAAGAAAATCTCCAAAATGGCAAGTCTTTTGGGGTGTTTCCAGTATGCAGTGTTTAGTACCTACCAAAGTTGTTGCAAGGAAGGACAACCAGTGAACTGACAAAAGAGTCACCGGCACCCAAGGTGCGCTGATTCATGTGGGGAGCAAAATCAAGCCTGTTTGGTCTGATGACACAGAAGAGCTACTGTAACTCAAATTGCGAAAAAAGTTAATTATAGAAAGGTGTCAGAACACATAATGCAACTCAGTTTGCTGCAAATGAGGTTGCAACCATTCATGATGACCTCGGTCCAAAAGTGCCTTCAATGTGGATGGGAGTGTCAGAACTGGACCGTGGAGCACTAGCCTGATGAATCACATTTTCTTTTAGATCAGTTGGATGGCTGGGTGCATGTGTGTCATTTACCTGGGAAGAGATGGCAGCAAGATGCACTGTGGGAAGAAGGCAGTCCGGTGAATGCAGTGTTATGCTCTGGAAAATGTTCTGTTAGGAGTCCTGGCATTCATGTGGATGTTACGTTGACACATTTTATCCACCTAGACATTGTTGAAAACCACATACACCCCTTTATAGCAATTGTGTTTCCTGGTGGCAGTGGTCTCTTTCAGTAGGTTAATGCAACCTGCCACATTGCAAAAAAATGTCCAGGA